GTGGAGATAGATAGAGAGTTCTAACACATATATCACTCTCTCTCTCCCCTCCTCTGCACACAGACACCAATATTTACTGTCAGTACATTCCTTACACTCCCAAAAGCCCGTCCTAGCATTCATTGATCTGGGTCAAACACACTCCATACACTGGTCGACAAAGTCCTGACCCAATTCTGTCCCCATTTTGTATGCACAAATTTCTATAGTTAGTTTAAAAAGTGCATACTTATAAGGGTATTAGTTTTACCAGTATGGGTGGGTTATTGAGGGCAAAGGCTATTTAGTCTGTACAGGGGAAGGTCTACGTTCGAATTTGCTTCTCTAGCGATCAGGAACGGTTGAACGATGTGTGATCCCACAGCCGATACTGTTCTCTCTACAGCAGTGACTACTTTAACAGACATCATTTTAGGTACTCGTAAACTATAATTAACTTACCCAAGCATATGCAAAAACTGAGACATTCCAGATCGCCTTGAAAAGTGAACTTATACAGGCATAGATTGACACGTCTGGACGCTAGGAAGCTGGCAAAGAGAATGGCGTCACTTAGACGCTTCAGGCGTTGGTAAAAAAAGAAGTCCCTAGTATACATGGGCAAGGAGTGCATCGGTTTCTAAGAAACCTCAAATAACTCCTCTAATATATATCAAAGATATATACATTTAAAAGTGGAGTTTAGTTAAAGCACCCAGAAAAGGTAGACATAATAATGTTGTCCAATAAAGACCTATATATATAGATATAGGGGACCATATCTTTCCGGACGAGTCCAAGTTTGAATTTTGTGAAGATTTACAGGTAAGTTAGGTTACCAGTCTTACGTTTCAGTGTGTGTGTGTGTGTAACAGTGCGCGCACATACACATATATGTAAATATATATATATATATATATATATATATATATATATATATATATATATATATATACTTTTTCCATTTAAAATAAAAATGCTTTTCTGTTTTGTTTTACTCCGTGTCTAAAATGCAGACGCTAATGAAAAGCGATACATGTATATCTCACTACTTTGAAAATGTGAAACGCTTGTCAACACGCTTTACGATTTATGACAACGCAGAACGACAAACACTTGGCGAGAAGAAAACATACGAGTCGTATCAGACCACTCTATTTTAAGTAACAACACTGAGTTTAAGTAAAAGTTTAAGTACCAGACGAGTTGTCACTGTCTTTTAAGAAGTGAAGTTGAATTTAGGAGAAATTTAAAGTAATAGTTTTATCAGCCTCTGTCTATTATGTTAAAATTGAGTTTGAGTAAATGTTTTAGTACCAGTAGACTCAAGCTCTGTCTGTTATGTTACAGTTGAGTTTAGGTAAAAGTTTTAGTGCCAATATACTCAAGCTCTGTCTGTTATGTTAAATTTGAGTTTAGGTAAATGTTTTAGTACCAGTAGACTAAGTTTGATATTAAGTAAAAGTTTCAGTACCAGTCGCCTCCAACCATTGCCTATTAAGTAGTAAAGTTGAGTTTAAATAAAAGTTAAAAGTATCAGGAGCCTCAAATCTTTTTTTTTTTTTTTTTTTATTAAGTAGTAAATATTCAGTTTGAGTAAACTTTTAACAGCTGAGAAGATGGCTTCATTGCATGGCATTTTGTCGCGCAGAGCTCTGCTTCTTTCCGCACAATAGCTCACAGTTAAGTTGACCAGTTAGTTTTAATTGATGCTTGTTTTGTTTTACCTTTGTCTACTTTCTGTAGACATTGCGTAACATTGTCTAATGAGGGTTTTTCTGTGAAAATGGGTAAGATTTTCTAAATTTTGTTATTTCTGTTGAGCTGCATAAAATATTTATGTGTCCGTATTTATATTTCGAGTAAAATTAGTCCTATAGAAAATATTACTTCAGGGGTATTTTTTTTTTATCACGCCTTCACATATTCTAGGTCACAGCATTTAAGAAGGGGTACGCAGTTGCTTTTCCTTCAGAAACATTTATGGTGCTAACTTGAATAAGGATGGATATATATATATATATATAGTGTCGGCCGTCTTTATATAATAGTTAACCTGTCAAGACTGGGTAGATGGCACCGCGGTAGGGAACTATTGATGGAAATCTCCCATTACACAGATCAGGAAGTAACTGAAGGCCAAAGAACAACATAACACTGGTGAACTGAACAGTTAGCCTGCTAGGACCTGTGTATAATTAACGTCAAAAAGCCTTCCTGTGTGTTTCCTGTTTAGTCTTGTTTTGAAAACTTGCCGCTCACCTGAAAATTCGATTCTTATTGATTTTCGCTTCCTGTTGGGACGACTTTTCTTCAGTTATACTGATTATAGACACCGCGACCCAGTTGATCATTTTTTTTTTTTAACTTTTTCATCCACACATCCACTTGCGGTTATAGAGAAAAGCAATGTCCAGGTGAAACAGCTGAACGTTTAGGTTGCTGCTTGCTATGCACTATATGCAGGTTTCAGGTCTTCTAGGCGATAGTGTGACACTGTGATGTAAGGGCCATAGGAATC